ATACTACTACACACTCTTCAACTTTTCCACCCTTCTAAGCTTTTTTAGGCTTCATTTTCTACTTGAGAAAAGACAATATTATAACATGTTTCCACTAAATTTTAGAATTTTTAGAAAGCAGCTTAGATCTCTATACAAGTAATGCATAATAGAACATTTTTTTTTTTTATGCCTTTCTGTTGATCTCATTATACTTTCGACTTTAGAGGTTAGAAGTGGGACATAAATATGAGGGATATCATGTCCACCTTCAATCTTGACATACACTAGAAACAAAGATTCTAGAGTTTGTCATTTAACATCATCTATACTTCTCCTATTTGATTGTAGATTCTAGCATCGTCTTTACATGTAATAATTCATAAATAGATGGCAGACGTGGTTTAGCATCCATAGTTTGGACATTACTACCAAAAAGTTTTTTGTTCAGATTTTATTTGGTAAGACCCATGAAGTGTAGAGACTTTATCATTGAGGACTCCAAATAATGGATGTTAAATTGAAGCCCTTGCAATCTTATCAAATTCTACTCATCAAAGATTGAGTTGTTTCATGCCATAGATGAGTATCTTCTATCCTAATGCTCTTTTATTATGGTTGTATGAATGACATATCAATTTAGTTAAGAAATTGATGTGAAAGAGTTGCTTATGCTGATCAAACCTTAGACTCTGCAACATTGTCATTTACTCCTATTAAAGCAAATATGTTGTGTTACCTGCATCTTAATAGATATACAATACAATGATATGTTTTGCACCTCAATTAACATCAGACCTCAATGTTTTGTTTGAAGTTGAATGGATTGACCTTACTTCCAACTATATATTACTGCCATCACAAATCCTCAACATCTTTCAAATCTAAAATGTTCATGGTTGATCATAGTGTCCAAGATTATAGGGATGTAAAGAGATGTACAATGGTGACCAGATATGCACAACCAAATTTATTCTAAAATGTAGAAACTATCCATTGATGTGTTTCACGCTATGCCACTGCTAGTTAGCCCATTCTACCCTTATGTACAATCTATTCGTCTATGTCCAGCATTCTAAAGGACATAACAATCATTATTTCATAATAAACTTGCTACCATATAAATATGATGGCTCTCCTTATTTGATGAATTATAAACTATTTCCATAGATGTTTTTTTGACTCTCCACACATTGTAAAAATTCCACATTGAAAACATTTCAAAAAAGATATATTGACAGCTTTTATTCTCACAAATTATTCAATTGGTCTTAATACCTTTAGAAATCTAAAAAATAAGTCAATACAAATAACATTCTTAAGATGCATTTTTTGCTACATTTATCTTGGTCAAAATCAAAATGGTAGAAAGAATCTCTTTCCCTTCAATGTATGATTTTTACATTGATTTGTACCACCAACAATGGATCTCAATATAGATCTTTTACAATGCTCCAAAAGACAAGATTTCTTCTCATTCATATGATTTGAATGAGAAGAAAAGAACCTAATTAATCTTTTTAATATATATATTTTTTTATTTTTACATTTTTAAGAATTTTATATCTATAATTTTAATAATATTTTGAAACTTATAAATCTGCTAAAAAAATTATTTAGCTTTGGTTGTCAAAAAAATAAATATTTATGTAAATATGTTGTATTCAAAGAATGCCAAATCTTGTGCTTCAAATTTTGTAAATTTTGGAATTTCTTCTATTTTAAAATAAATTATAATATAATTTAACTATTTTTATTCTAATAAGGTTTATACTACTACTAATTGTCATTATTAATAATTTTTTTGTTGCAGTAATGAAATCAAAATAAAAAAATAAATCACTTTTATTTTAAAATATATTATATAATAATAAATTTTATTGTTCATTTTACAAATTTGAAATTTTTATTTATGGTTGATATAACTTTAAATATTTTTGGCATAAAATTTGTCATGCGATAAGGTATTTTTGAAAAAATCTTATATCTTTGATGTATTGTTTTGAAGTAGATGTAATTGAAAGAATAGTTTATTGTGCAGATATTTGTATTAACAACAATAAAAAAATAAAAAATGAATTAATAGTCTCAATTGAATAGGAGAAGATTTATCTTGGTGATGAAGAAATTTAGTAATTAATGTATAAGTATTATAATTTCTTAAAATCTTTAATACATATAATAAATAATGAAAATAAAACACAATAAAGATCATGATGTTTGCATATTCACAAAGACGAAATTTAATTTAGACTATTATTTTTACGTAACACTACATATTTCTCAAAATAAAAAATAATTTATGATGTCGATTATTTTTAAAATCCATGAACTTATCAAAAACCACCACGACAGAATCCGCGAAGAATCGTGAAAAGGATCAGACAAATTCCACAGAGAATCGCCACTTCCATAGCCGACCCACACCCAACCCACTGGATTCCAGATTAGGCGACAAATTTCACCCAGGATGGCCACGATTCCACCATTTCCTAGCTTCTGTCCTTGCTGTCGTGCTTCGTTCTCACCAATCCATTAGAGGGTGCATCATCATCAACTGGAGTTGGTAGTGTTGGCGAGGGTAAGAGCAAGAGGCCAAGAGTTTCATAAGGAAGAGGAGGAGTAGGAGTAGCATGAGGAGGGAAGTTCATATATCAGGGAAACCCTCGAACCACTGTAGAGTGACCGGAAAATGTAGAGTTGTTGGTTGTCAGACCTGTCACGCAGCTTTCCCTATAAACAAATCGCGAGGCAAGGGGAAGGGGAGGATCAAAAGACTCTTATCCGATTTTCCTAGCACTCATCTGCTGTCAGACTGGCGTGTGAATAAGCCTTCTTTACTTCCTTCTCGCAAAATTGTACGCCCTAGCATGAAAGGGGACATTCACACAGATCGGGCAGCCGATGATGAATACCTTGAAGGAAATGAGAATGATGATGACGTTAAGGAGCCCGAGAGATGGGCGCTCTCGATCTCGCTATTACTTGGTACGGCTTTGGAGAATATGCAAGAGACTGTGCGTGCTCGAAACACGCTCCAGAAAGTGGAGATGGCTTTTGATGGTCAGGAACATGAAGGACTCAGTGTTCCGCTTTCAAAACATACTGATGCGATTAATGCTGATGAAGAATTACCGGATCTTGATAGTTTCAAGAATGAGTTCGAGGAATTCAAGAGTGAGAACAGAGGCTATACCAGTGCAGCGGAGAGTGCAGACAGCTGGTCTGGCATCGAACTCTCAGACGCTGACGAATTCAGCCTGGAAGAGTGGGAGGACGAGTGGTCAATGGTAGAGAATGTAATTCCTGCATAACTTAGCATTTGTTGAAGTTGTAAATGACAAGTGATTTCTGTGAAGATACTTCCGCCAGGAACATTGTCCTCTTGATGCTGACACAGCTGAAAAGGATCACTCCTGCTTAGGTTACAGCCACACGTCGCCTTGGTCTCGCTTTGGTCGCAATGTGCCTTCTCGAAGGATCTGTTCACTTGTCGCCAGGCGAGAACTTGATTTTCTTGTTTTCTGTGCAATTGTATATTGGACTTGAAAACCTTCCAGAGGGTTATATGCTTGTAGTTAGATTGTATATTGGATGGTCAATTGGCAAGTCCTTATCTGAGGTGACTTTTAGTTCCCTCTCTCAAATAAAGCTGTTTTTGGTTGTAAATATCCATCAAATCTGAGGCGCGTGCTTTTATTTTCTAGTAATAGGCATGGTTTAAATTCGGCATTCAACGTGAATGAAGAATTTTAGCCTGGCTTTGTAACATCAATTGCTGTGTAGTTTGTTGGCAATCCATTTCAAGTAAAAATAAAAAAAATAACTCAAATTTTATGAGCTCTATATTGTGATGTGATTCATCACATGATCTGAACATCGTACCATTCACAGCCTGTAACCTGAAGTGACCATAACAAATATCTTGCTATGTGGCATTAGCCTATGGCACTAATTTATGATCAACGTGCTGTTACATTCTAATAGTATTGAAGGCACATTTTATAAGCACGTCGACTCCAGATCCGGTAGCCTTCTTCGAGAGCTTCCTCTCAGGTCTACGAAATGATTAGCCCTAATTTATTGCCAGGACCAGCTCGGCCGCGCGGAATGTTTGTTCTCCCTCGATGAAGTGCAGTCGCCACAAGAGCTGCTTCTTCAAACACTCGAAAGTCGATCTCAGCCGCTCGATCTGCATTCGCACGACGATATCAACTAATCTACATACGATATGGTGACTGGAAAAGTTGCAGAAGACTAGACGAATGAAATGACTTTAGAATATCAGTATGCAATAATATATATTTCAAAGGCCGTTCTTCAGCGCTGAACCAGGAAGATGACGATCTTTAAGCACTGCCATGATTATTAGACTCGCCGCAATCCAGATTGTGACATGAAGTTCGCATTTGTTACAAACTGCTACCAGAAAATATAGATGATGCAAAATCAGCCACAGAAATTGGACTACTCGTGAGCAGGGCAATCTTCGGAAGGAAGGGTACAAAAGAAGCTCACAGGTGAGATAAAAAAATGTCCATGTATGCCGTTGGTCTTAGTAGAGTCTCGTATACCTAAGTGTCCGTTGGAGTGATATACAGCTTCAGCTTGTCAAGGACTCTACGAAGTCTAAAATTGATAGCTCCAGGCATTCCACTGAATCTTCTTCCTACTTTCGCTTCCAGGAGTAGCCATGCTATTTGTGTTCAAACAGATCCAACTTCGATCTATTTCAGAGCATTGAATCATTCGACGTTTTATATCTACTGATGCTGCTCTCCAGAACTCTTTAGTGGATGGAAAGTTCTAAAGGTTAGAGCACTCTCCCACACTTGGCACTTGGTGCACATTTCATGCATGTGTGAATGCAGACTATGATTCAAGAAGACGAAAAGAATGACATGAGGCACACAGCAAAATCCAACTTTACAAAGGTGAATGCAGACGTAGAATTCGTAACGAGATATAGTTTGGTTTTGAACAAAACAATCATGGAACGACGCCATGCATACATGCAGCGATTTAAACCCAGCTCTTGCAGATCATCTCTTTATGCGGACTTGAAATTGATACTGAATACATCTCAATGGAACCGATTTCCTGCGGGACAACTTCCAGAGCAAGAAAAAGGAGCGGAGGTAATAAAATCACTCTTTGATTTACAAATCAGAAAGCGTAACCAAGATTTTCTAAATGCACATTTTTTTGTAACGTTAACAAGCTGTTTGTCATTATTTGAAAGTAAGCTAGTACAGGTCAAGCCCTGCAGTGGTCCTAAACATTATTCTCCAGCAACGACACTCTGACACGTCTTTGCTGTCAGAACCTACTTAGAAACGGGATGCTCCTTCAAGAGCTGAAGCACTGCCTTCCTCTCAGGCATGCTTGGCATTGCACCTTTGAAGCGCACACAAATAGAAGCTGATGCAGCTGCAGGTCATAACAGAAGTAAGATAAGGAAAATCAGACGTAGGTGGTTCCACCTCGTTTCGACTTCATGAAAGAAACTGCAGTAATACAAAACATTGGCAAGTAATTACGAGCTGTACATTAGATAAAAAGTAAAATCAAAATAATGCAGAACCAAAAATGAAGGGTTTACCAGCAAATCTAAGGGCTTCTACAAGAGTTTGACGCTCGATAAGAGCAACAGCGTAGGCAGCTGTAAAAGTGTCGCCAGCACCGGTTGTGTCAACTACAACTGGAGCCAGGATTGCAGGTTGATGAATTGGAGACTCCTTCTCAGACACAAGCATGGAACCGTTCTCTCCCATCTTCACCAGCACTTGCTTGACACCCTGATCCATCGTAAAGAATGTTATGCACTTGAACCTGTAAGCTAATCACATTGTTTAAGATCTCAAGTTCCCCTCTAGAAAAAAATTAGGTACTGACGCAAGGAAACCCAAACATTATGGCAACTAAATTACAAATAAGCTGCCAGAAAATCTATAAACCGTACCATCTCTAAAACCTTCTTAGCTGCCGTCAAAATTTCTTCTCCTGAATTGGTTGGCATATCAGTTAGCCGGGCCAGCTCCGTCTCATTAGGACTTAACACTGTAAGACATTTCAGAAGTTCTTCTGGAATAGGACCTTCTGCACCTCCAGCATCCATGATCACAGGAACACCGGCACTCTTAGCAATCTGCAGGCCGGAATATGATAATAAAAATTATGCTCAAACTTACTGGAAAAATGACGTTTCACCGTAAAGAAATCATACGGAAAAGGATGATCGTTCTCAATTTTATATAAGTGTTTCATTGGATTCTGTGTTGTGATTGAGTAGGACGAGGAATGAACAACCGCTCGGGTACTGCTCTCTACCTTCGCAGCTTCAAGATTGACTGCGTCTGGAATCTCACGTTGCAGAAGCACTGCACCTGCTCGTTTAATCAATTCCTGCGCGTTGGTGGTTAGACTGCTTATTCCATCTTCTAACTTCGGCCATGCGACATTGGCTCCTCCGACGATGATAATTGAGTTTTTGCCTCCTGGCTGTAATATCACAACTGCGTGACCAGTTGGAGCGTCAACAGTATTTACATGATCTAAATGAACGCCTGCAGAAACAAGTGCATTTCTAACCAGGTTGGCATGGGCGTCCTGTCCGACCTGCATCAAATAAAAAACTAGTTCTCAGATATCCCTGCTCAGCGAAGCTCGTTTTCACGCAACCAATTCTGACATAGGAGTGTTTTTTGTGAAAACGGGAATCTGTACCTGGCCACAGAAGAAGGTAGGGTACGAAAGACGAGCGGCACAAGCAGCTTGATTGGCTCCCTTCCCACCAGGAAGAGTCTGGCCACTTCTAGCAGCTATGGTTTCACCCTCGGCCGGTAGACGCTCAACCTCCACATAAATGTCGGCATTCACCGATCCAACTACAACCAAAGGGGAGCCGATCGTCATATCTCTTCGAGGTACAAGACAATCTCCTCGGAACCCAACGTAGCCCAACAAATCAAAATAACTCTAGTTACTAAACGAGTTTCTACGGCTACAAAAACCAGCAATTCCTCCACGCGCGCGCACACCAAACCCAGCACCGAGGCCTCTGCTCAGACTTATAACCCAGTTCGACAATTCCGCAATCAGACGATGGGACGAACCACGATCGGTGAAAGCTTCCTCACAATTCGAAGAAATTCCTGTCTTATCAAGTCCCTACCCATGCGAGAGAACAATCAGTTCAATTCTACCCCCTGAACTGAAAAAAGAAAAACACCCATTGCTGCAACAACCACGCTCAAGGGCTATGTAATCCGACCGAGCTGTGAATGATTGTCGTTACCAAGCACAACTCGTGATTCCTCCACCTTCGTCTCAGTTTCATCAGAGTGGATATACACAAAGACGCATCTGAAGCCCAAATCCACCGGCACAATCAGCACAGACTCAACATCTTTCGTGAAGAATCTACGAAGAAGGATTGCTCGGAACCTCGGCGATAACGGCGAATTTAATTTCACGATTCCCGTGATAAGCTTCAGATGGCCCAGCTTCGTATTCGACATTCTTACAATTAAATGTGGCATCCAAGATACAATACTTGGCTCCTATCTAAAGATATTGTGATAGATATTTGTTTTAGGGTTTGGAGTGTATGGAAACGCTGCATGGTTTGATGCCTTGTTTGATGATGCTGGGAACACAAAAAACCTCGTTTCTTAGACTCATTTTGCTTTTATTTCTCCTTCATGGTGTTGTTTCAGTGTTTGTAGTTTTCCAACCTGATACCTTCACTGCTATGGTGCTCCTTGTGTCGATGTGGAAACGCTGTAGTAACTTTTTAATTTTTTGCAACATGAAAAAATATATATATATAAATAAATATATATATATGTATTTGACATGTGTGTGTGTATTCTATCTGTTTGTTTGTTTTTATCTTTTTGTTTCAAATGTTCTGACTCAATTCAATCGCTGGACTAAAATTATTATGAATATTCAGTGGTTGCCACATTAAAAAAAAACCTAAAAAAGGAACAAATAAATAAATAAATATATGGATAAATTATGATCATTACAATAGCTTTAGTAATGTAGATGAGAGACCTGAATGTGTTTAACATCATTCATAATCTTACATTAGCATTTATTTGGTATAATTTTTAAAATTCATAAATTACATATTTCTTTAAAATATTTAATCATTTATAAAGGATTTCAACGTTTTTAAAGATATTGAATATTTTGTTAGAATGTCAAATAATTCAATCAAAATTTGTTTATTTTTAGTAATATTTGGTTTGAATTGGATGTATGTGTGTATGTATGTATATATATATATATATATATATATATATACACATTTTTATTTAACAAACCAAATGTTTTCTTACAATTGCAATTGTTAAAATCTTGTAATTTTAAATACGTTTTTGTGTGAAATTTTATAGTTTACTTATTTATTTATTTTGTAACACAAGTCTTGTCATATTGGTTACTAGCTTTCATAAATTAAAATAAAATCGAATGCTAACTCATCAAAATCCATTGCTAAGGTCAATCAATTATTTTGACAAAGATGCTATATATTGTAAGTCTTACTCCAATGCAACCACTGTGCATTTTGGTTTATAATGAGAAAAAGATTAAAATATAATAATTTTTCATACATACAACTACATTTTTTTCTTAAAAAATTAATCAAATTACCTGAAATTCGAAATTACATATCTATTTAATAATTATTTCATATTAATATCTTACAAATGATGTTTTAGCAGCATTAAAAGAATATCATTCAAACTGCTACTTATGCATATTTATTTTGAACCTTATTTACATTCTTGCATGCTAAGATATGATTGGATGATGTAAAGTTGCTGAAGCCCAATCTGAAGTTGTGCTATGTGTGTAAAAACTACACACACAGTACAACATGTTAGTGTCTATTCTGTTGGATCATATACAATTCAAAAATACTTTAGTTGTAGGTAAAGCTAAAATAATTATGCATTGTATACCATCAATAACATCTAATGTAGATTTTCCATGCTCTTCTACATTACTTACAAAACTGTGTATGATTTAAATCTTTGGTGTTAAAAAATTATAGTTTGGTGTCAAAAACTAAGTTTTTTTTCCTCACATGGATTAATTTAAACAAATTTTTTATATGCAAATATATGCCATTGAGGTCTGTAACTTATGCAAGTCATTTTTTAATATTACAAAACTCACAATTTCTTATTAAATTTGCAACAGAGTTATTAGAAAGTTTTGGCAATCAATGATAACTATAGTATGCAATATGCTAAATGATAATAGAGGGATAAATTATAAAATTTTAAACATGTAGAATCTAAAAGAACTAACAAAAGTATTGTTTCAACAATTTTAGAGAGATTTTTATGATCATGAACATATTTACTAAGCAAGAATTGTTGTTTTATGGTATTATAATATGTTTCTGCATTCTTTTAGAATCTTCCATATTTTTTTTAAAAAATTATAGGAATTGTAGGCCTTTAGTCTTTTTTAAAAGCTTTTTTAGTAATTTTTTTTAATAGTTAGTTAACAAGTCTTGTAGAAGAGTTTATTTAGAAAACTTTATTTAATAGCTAAGGTAAGAACATACAACTATCTTAGATTAAAAAATATCTAAAATTATAAGTAATATATATATATATATATATATATATATATATTATTTTTTATATTTAAAAATAATTAATATTTATTCTAAAAATACATATAAAGAGTATCTTTCTTAATTTTTAACCATGGTGAATGAAAATTTTATAAATTATACAAAGTTTTAAAATTATAGTAAGATCATATAATTTTATAATTCTTAGGTTATAATTGTGTACAAGAGGTAAGATGCTCATTTTAAGAACGTGTAGTAATTGTGCTAAGATTTCAAATTTGGAATTTAGGAAGATGAATAAAGATTTTTGTTGAAACTTTGTCGCAATTTAAATGTGCATGTGCTAGTCTCAATTGTGACATGAAATTGCTGATTTATCAACATGTTAGTACTACTTTAAGACATGGGCAAAAATATAGTAGCCTATTTTTGTTCTAATTTGGAACATAACTTTCAAAGATTAAAGTGTTTTTTATTTTTTATTTTTGGTATCTATGTCAAATAGTAAGAGACCATAGGTTTACATTAATACCACTTTTTGTGCAAAGACAAAGGATAATTTTCTCCTCTATATTCTTTAATTCACGATTTTTTTTTTTAAATTTAACTCTTTAGATGTGAAAATATTAAGAAAAAATCTATAGTATTTTAAGAAGATTGATAAGAATAATTATACATTGGAAGTAACAATAATAAATAACAAGCTTGTGACAATCTTTGTCTCTAAAAATCAAACTATGAATGCTATTGGAAATTACAACTTGGCTTCATTCAATGCACAAGTTTGAAATTGTAAGCCCAATTTTTTTTTTTATTTTTTTGGAAATTTTGTATATTTTTTATTTATAATTAAAAAATATTATATTAAAAAAATTTAAAAATTCAAAAATACTTACTAGAATAGGATCATAGTTGTGTAGTATATAAATACAATACTTTTAATCTTTTTATTAAATTCATCTTTAATAATAGTAATATAATTATTCAAGGTTATGGTCTTCTTAGAAATCTTGATCTTATTTGCAACTTTAGTACTTGTAGATGTTATTTCAATTCAAAAGATTAATGATCTTGATAGAAACTTAAACTCTAAATTTACATATGAATAATTTCATTTCTTGGCAGATTGTTAAGGACAAAAATTCAATGAAAGTAAATAAACAAGTGGGACTTTCTCAACAAAGTATGACAAAATAGAAATAAGAAGTATGTATATTAAATAGAAACTATAATGGCTATTGCCAAAAACAAGAAGACTAGAAAGTCTTGAAACAAGATTAAAGATTAGAAAGGCATTGATAAGATTAAAGAAGGCTTCACTCTTGCCTCTATATGTGCTCTTAACTAAGAACTATGTGGCAATGTCCAATGGGACCTCCAAAAAATGTTGACTTTGCTAGCTACATGTCTTAACTTGCAAGGCAAGTTATTTATGTATATATCACATAGTTAGCTTATTCCACAAGCTATTACATGGAGTTAACTTATTCCACAAGCTACCAACACATGGTTAAGTTGTTGGCCAAATTTCTATCCTACAAATACATCTAAAGTCAAAACTGTCTCTACAAAGCTTCTAAGAAGCTTTTTTAGAAGAATTTCTAAAATAAATCTATATTTACTTCTACTTAATCATATAAATAACTATTGAGATAAATGTATATATCCGTGATATTACTTTCCTTTCTAGGGACAAGTTCCACAAGAAGCGATCATTATCTTTTATAGATCTTTACAATACTTCAGCTTGGTTTTGATAGATGTCATTGATGAAAAGCTTTGACCTTCTCTACTATGTTTGCAAGATTCTTTATTGGCTTCCATGTCCATTTGCTAATATCATATCCATGCCAATGAATAAGATATTTTAACCTATTTTGGCAGCAACTTGAATCTAAGACTTCTTCTACTTTGAACTCTTGATTATTATCCACTTCTATAGGAAGAGGTGGCATTTTTCTTCTTCCAAAGATATTCATTGTCTTATATAGCTTAAGAAAGGACATATGAAATATAGGGTTGATCTTCATAGACTCCGATAGATGTAATCGATAAGCAACAGGATTGATTTATTCATAAATAGAAAAAGGTCTCAGCTTACAATTGTCACGGCCATAATCATGTAAGCTAATAATTACATATAGAAATAGGTAGAAGTAAGTAAAAGTAGATAAAAGTAAGTTAATTCTATAATATTTAATATAGAAGCTTCCTAGAAACTTCTTAGATGCTGCTTTGACTTCATATGTGTCTTTAATTGACTTTTTGGATTAAAAACGTGGTCAACAAGTTGGCCATGTGCCACACATGTTGTTAGCTTGAAGATCAAGTTAACTATGTGGCCCACACGTAGAAAAACTTGCCTTGTAAGTCAAGGCATGTGTCCTACAAAGTCAACACATATTGGAGGTCCTATAGAACGTCGCCATGTAGCCCCTAGTTAGATAGTATATATAGAGACAAGAGTGAAGGCTTCTTCACTCTTGTCAACTCCTTTCTTGCTTCTAGTCTAGTTTCAAGGGTCTGTAGTTTTCTTGTCTTTTGGCAATAGCCATTCTAGTTTCTCTTTTCAATATACATACTTATTATTCATATTTTGTTACTTTTCTTTGAGTGAAGGCTTACTTGTCTGAACTATTTTTTCATCGAGTTCTTGTCCTTGACAGATTGACAAGAGTGTACTTACAATATCAGAGCTTTGTTTTTCTTGAGTAAGAGTGGATTATCCCTTTCTCTTGACAAGGCATAAGCGTATTAGAAGTTTGCGGATTACCCACTTCTAAACTGATATTGTTCTTAGTATCTTCTTTGTTATTAAGTCTTTCTTTTCTTTCGTCTTGAGCAGTATCAAACAAATTTTTCTTCTTAGTGTCATTATGGCAGAGCTTGTTGAAATGAAGAGTGCAATGGCACAAATGCAAGAGCAA